TTTCAAAGTTATCGGTGGAGGAACGAAGAGATAAGTAAAAGAAGAAAGTTAGACCAAGTCAGGGTACAATAGTTGTCTTATCTGTTAGATTTCATTATTTCATATTAGACCAGCGCTCGTCCGTGCTCCCCCCCATTTGTCCATACGATCACCAAAGAGATCACATTTACTTAGGCATCTTCTCAACCAGGTCTTGCTCACAATGTTAGAACAATACTTCTCTCAAGATTACCAGATCATGACATATAAGCTGGGTAGGTGAGTTAAGCGGGGCGTCCGACTAGTGCGAAGACAGAGGGCGACAACCTCGTGCTAATTTACACATTTACCCCTCGGCTTTACCACTTCCTTTTCAGCAACTGTCGTGGACGCCTCTGGACATTCACCAACGGTTCACCAACAAATGGCTAATCATCAGTCTGGTACGTGTCTGACTTTCGTAATCTGCACATAATACTAGTATCTTGCGGTAAATAAAGCAATGGCTCATAAAAAGCAAGCCGCAAAAAAAAAAAAAAAGATGAAAGTACCAAGGCTATCTGATGATAATCTTAAATTTGATCTACGCTGAGAGGGCAACCAACTAAGCAGAACCAATGTCATACACATGCCTTTGCTTCTCAAAGATCCGATTCTTCCCTCATACGTGACATTCTCTTGAGTAGTCTTTGTCTCGACGAGAGAGAAGGTACCGGCCTGGACTACTCATGATGTACGACCGTCTATGAACACCTGCCGCTCACTCTCAAAGTGCTAGGTTCTGAGTAGTTCCCCAACCATAGGGGTGCGCACGGTGATAGAGGGTGATCTAGCGCAAGCAAGCTCACTGCAGTTTGAAGATGACACCTCACCGTATATTACCCCCTTCACGTTTTGTCGTGCATTCCATGATCAGAGTATTGTCAGGCCGATCACACACAGGTTGCATGAAGCATATGACCAGAGTCTCTCTCGTCAGCTTGCTCTAAGCCCTAGTGATGGTGACAAAGGTATAGCATGCATCTGTCGGTGCTCGTTCTCTTCCGAGCACGATTGGGAACGCCCCCCCCCAATCGACCCTGCTACAAAGACTAGAAACTTCGCCCATCGAAAGAATGAGTCCCCTGATCGTGAGGAAATGACATCAGTGTGCTTGATCCTAGCGTGTACCCTCTCATCTTCTCCTCTTTGATCGTGGCCCACTCTCTGTTACCGCCTAGTCGCCTCTGTCTCGCCCCCCTTCCTTTTCTTGTCCTGAGTTGCTCGCACTCAGTGTCTGGATCGCTCATGTAGTCAATACCTGCTTCACGAACCTCAGCGACTCCGATCATAAT